ACCTTGGGGAAGGCGGAAAGGGTTCTACTATTCGATTCGACTCTTTGCGTTGTATACCCTCCCAATATGGATGCCCGGAACCCGGGCACCTTTTGAAAATTAGAAAATTTTCTGATTCATGAAAGTATTTTTAATCTTAAAATGAATATTACTTTGCAAGATAGATATATAGGCAACATGTGAAAAGAAAAAAGGCATGAGAAAAACATTGCTTGACAAACCTAAAGACTTTTACATTTTGCATGTGAAAGCATTGTAATGTTTACTGATAATGTGCCAAATTTCGTTAACATTTATAGCATGAAAACTATAACAAGAAGAAATGTTTATGAGGTTGGTCCCAGGCACCGAGCCCGTTCTGAAAGAGTTAAGCACATAAAACTTCCTTGTTAGTTAGGCTTAAGGCTAGCTATTGTCAACACACTTTCTGACTTAGATGATTTGTTTTTCTATCAAAAGTTTCATAGTATCTACGAAATGAAAACTTGGATTGACTAAGAAAATGTGGTGTGACATCATGAGAAACCATGACAACCAATAATTATTTTAATTAGCTTTCAAAGGATTGTTGTTGGTGTGACATCATGAGAAACCACCATGACAACCAATAATTATTTTAATTAGCTTTCAAAGGATTGTTGTTGGTATGACATCACTACGGAAATGAGTCACACCTGTAACAATCTTTTCAAAGCTAATCAAAACATTTTCAGGTTTCCATGGTGGTCTACCATGGTGATAATCCACTTTTTCTCATTGTTTCACTTTACTTAGCCATTTCCAACTTGCTCCAACAAAAAATGGTCCACCTTTCAATAACACTTGGCTTGTAGGGTTTTGTGTTATGAAAAATATAGTAAATGAAATAATAAATAATAGTTTGTTCTAAAATTTAAAAACTAATTTCGCCTATGATTGAGACCAAATCACTTACAGTTTACTTCTTATTCAGCAGAGCATCTTGACTTGTTGTACACCTCAGACTACGACTGTAATATTGGGCCAAAACCTTATGAGATTAGTACCTATAGAACAGAAATGTTTGTATTAATATCATTAGCCTAGCTAGTGAAAACTGAAGATGCAAATCAATTTGTCTTACTTACACTGTAATGAAAGTGTCTTTAAATTTTCAGAGAATAAAATACAAAAATTCACTGATCATTTTTGTAGCTATCAAAGGGCAGTGATATGAACCTAAACATAAAAATCATGATTTTGTAATTTTCTTTTTATAAAATTAAATAAATACAACTTTTTATCAAATAAATTTAAACATCAAATTTTTTTAAAGTTTGGAAAAATTGACTGAATTTTTTTTATAAATTTACCTAGGCAGTTTTGCCCTCAGGCAACAGGTGAAACTTTCTGTTACCAAAAGATTAAACTAATGGCTGATATAGAGAGAGAGATGTGTCTGAAATTTGAATGGCTGGATAATGGAGATTACACTGCCTTCACTGGCTATAGGGCAACCTTTAGCTACTGCTGTTTCAGATTAGCTTAACTGCTTAATTAGCAGTTACAATTATAATTCAATCCACAAAAATTTTAGTATAAAATGTGGAGTGAGTGTAAAAAACCTAAGCTGTCAGAGAGAAGAAGAAAAAAGACTTATTTCAACTATACTATCTTTTGGAATAATTGTTTATTTATAAAACTATTTTTAAAAGAAGGCTTTTTTTAGCATTATGTCAAGTTAGAGTCACAAGTTTATGAATTCTGCTGTTTTTACTTACTGAACCATGCAAATCTTTTTACGTGTTAGTTCATTATAGAACATTGTTTGGAAAAACCAAACCGGTCTTATTACATCTTTATCCAATACAGAACTTTGTTTGGAGAAATCAGAGCTATGTTTCATTCTTTAATCCATTTGAATGAATATATATACTATTATAATTGTGTTGTTTTACCAGGAATGGATCATTGAAAATGATATGACCAGCTTATATCATGCGGCCAGAGCTCTGATGCGACTACAAGCCTTATATGGGTTCATACCTAGCATTTGTGGCAAAGGGAAAGGAGCAAAGGTGAGTTACTTCTGTCACTGTAAAGACTTGAGTAAAATGATATTCACAGAATGCACAAAGTAAGTAATAACAGGTAATATCTTAGCACTAAATACTCATTTTTTACTTTCTTCAGAAAGATTTTATAAAATGTTTTAAAGATGTATATGTTTAGCTAGAATGAATTAAAATTACCTTATGATTAATTAAATGAGTTCCTGCATGTATATGTATGTTTAGCTATATTTATGTATTTCAAATTTCTTTTAAAGACTACTTAAGTGTTTAGCGCTATCGTGATGGGTCACGTGTCAAAGGCCATGTCATCGCATTTTATTGAACTACTATTTTATGAATTTATGTCAATAAGTTTGGTATTAAATTGTAGATTATAATTCAAATTTTAGTATTATACCTTAGTTAAGTTTTTATTTTATAAGTAAGTATTAAAAAAACACAGCTAAACATTGATTTTTTTATGTGTCATGTGGTATGTTGAATGCATCACTGGTTCAAATTAGATGTTTGTGATGTCAAGATACAAAATCTATAGTTTTGTACGAATTAGGAACTCAATTTATTAATATTGACAAGCTAGAATATAAAATAAGAACCTCTTAACTTTTCTATTTGCTAAGATATCGCTCACGTACTAAATCAAACACAGTGGCCTCCCTGCCCACCTCTTTCCATTTTTGGAAATGCTCCCTTATATACACTTACTTCTATATATGACATGAATATCCAATCAAAAACTCAGAATGTCACCTAGTGGCCATTTTGATGTGTTATTGTGTTAATCTCATTCCTTTCACACAAGATTTCAAACGATAATGTAAGACTTTAGTGAGCTCGAAATTTCATATTTTTGTAGACCCATATACAGCTTGATTACTACAGTTGATAAAGTATATTGTAATTCTAAAGCAGGAATTCCCAACCTTTTTGTTCCCATGTACCCCTAAAATTTAAGGATCAAAAACAGATAAAATTATATTGATTTTATATTATTTTATTATGAAATCTGTATGTGTGGACTGTTTAAGGATCTTATAGTATTGATAACATCGATAAATTTAACTCGGCATATATTTATGTGAGCCTCTTTGCTCTCTTCGTCTGACTGTAGATTAAAACACCATGTAAAGTGTAAACCATGGTAAAACTCTCAGACCTCTATGTATCCCCTGAGAAGTGCAAATGTACCCCAGGTTGGGAATATCTGTTCTATGGTATCAATATAGTTATTTATGGTTTTTTTGTTTTTTTGGTTATTTAAAATGTTTATATATAAAACCTATATATACCTTTTTATATCCTCTACGCCGGAAATTTTATTAGGCTTAGCAACCTACGACAAGCAGCAAACGAATACAAAGGTCATAACTAGAAGAGATAATTGTTTGCTTTTTTTCTTTATTTACTCATATATATTTTGTGAAAAATAAGTTTCAGAACTTATTTGTAAATATTATTAATGTATATACATATATAATGTATAATAATTGAAATGTGACTGTATTTTACAAAATACTAGACCACTAGAACACAGCCAAGACAGGTCATTTTGAAAAGACTAAATGTCAGATTTATATTATTAGATATCATTGTAACTTCTGTATTGTTAGCCAGGCATGGCTGGAATGTCAGTATAATAAAACTAATAAATATATATAAATGTATAAAGATTTAAGCTATTTAGACTAAACATTTGAGTTTTTATGTTATAATCTGTGTTTATTTTAGACCAAAAAAAAGCATGATTTATATGTATTTTTTATGGTGGTTACGAGGCCAGTTAAATTGACAGACCCCCATAGAGTTTGGGTAGAAAAAATAACTTAAAAAATATAAAGTTTTACTGAAAACAAACATTTGAAATGTATTTAGGAGGTTTTAGAGATT